GGACGGCTGAGTGGGTGAGAGACCCCTGTCCCCCCCTCACCACCTGCCCCAGAGCCGGAATACATGCATATCCGGTCCTTTACCGAAAAGCGTAGTGACCCCCAAATTAAAGCCTTTTATTAAAGGCAGGTATTTTTTAAAAGGCAGGTGTCACTGAAATGAAAAGATGGACATTTCTGAACGTATAAAGTTTAGAAACCGTTCCTTCTAAAAGCACCAAATGGTATTTAACGTCCAGTGACGACCCGAGAGCAGCACTGGAAACAGGTAGAACGGACAAAAGGCCAGCTTTTGTGAGATAGTCAACCTTCAGAACGGCGAGGAAAACATCCAAAGGGGAAAGGCCTCTAACTGGAAAATTAAAATGCAGAAATGAAATGAATGAATAAATAAATAACATGTAGGAATGAGCCACAATGACAATATTTTTACCTTGTTGGCAATCAAAGGGAGGGAAATAAAAGAAAGGATGACTTCATGGTTTACCGAAAAAGTTGGCAAATGTTTAAAAATAAAGATTTTCTTGCCCACCTGGTGTGGCTCAGTGGTTGAGCCTCGACCTAGGAACCAGGAGGTCAGGGTTTGATTCCCGGTCAGGGCACAGGCCCAGGTTGCGGGCTCCATCCCCAGTGGGGGGCGTGCAGGAGGCAGCCGATCCATGATTCTCTCTCATCATGGATGTTTCTCTCTCTCTCTCCCTCTCGCTTCTCTGAAAACAATAAAACTATATGAAAAAAATAGAAATAGTCGTACTTGGTGTTGGCCAAGGTTTCAAGATACAGGTACCCTCAGAAGTAGCCATGGGAACAAAACTTTGACAGAGCTTCCAGAAGATCGATGATTTTCTATCTCTCCCTCTCGCTTCTTCTCTGAAAACAATAAAAATATATGAAAAAAATAAAAATAGTCGTACTTGGTGTTGGCCAAGGTTCAGAGATACAGGGACCCTCGGAAGTAGCCGTGGGAACAAACCTTTGACAGAGCTTTCAGAAGATCGATGCCTTTCAGCAAACTGTTTAACAGCTCTTTCCACCCCAAGAGCTTAGTGTTAGGAAAGTGTTAACCTGGTAACATAGATGGTCTACAGCCCATTTAGGTTTGTTTTTGTGTGTGTGTGTTTTTTAAAATTATTTAAGGCAAACTTTATTGGATCTTTCCACCCCAAGAGCTTAGTGTTAGGAAAGCATTAACCTGGTAACATAGATGGTCCACAGCCCATTTAGGTTCGTTTTGTGTGTGTGTTTTTTTTAAAATTATTTAAGGCAAGCTTTATTGGTTTATTTTAGACTGGAGGCCTGGTGCACGAAATCCGTGCATAGAGGGGGTGTCCCTTAGCCTGGCCTGCACCCTCTCCAATCCGGGACCCCTCGGTGGATGTCTGACTGCTGAGATTGGACCTAAACCAGCAGTCAGACATCCCTCTCACAATCCAGGACCACTGGCTCAACTGCTCACACCTGCTTGCCTGCCTGATTGCGCCTAACCCCTCTGCCTGCCTGCCTGATCGTCCCTCACCACCTCTGCCTGCCGG